TAGGCCACCTAGGTTTAAATCTTCTCATTACTTGCCCTTCAGGTGTTCCAGGGTAATTTTGACAACGACACGCACCGTAAGAACGTCATCGACCCTCCGATCTACGCCAGGCACGTCCGCATTCTCCCATGGTCGTGGTACGGCAGGATCACCCTGCGGTCAGAGCTGCTGGGCTGCACAGCGGAGGACTGAGACGGATCCCCATTAGGCGTCGCAGCTCTCTGTGTAGCTAAAAGTCCCTCCGTAGAAGAAACTGTTCAAAGCCTGTAAGATGCTGAGTGGGGTTTTCATGAACAAGTGCTCATTTTATGGTAGGCCGCTAACTGTCTTTCGCAAGGAGGTCTAAGCCTGCCCTTTAAATGATCCAATCCGATTTTGTCCTTGAAATCTGTTGGTGTTGTCCCTTCTGCTGTGGAATTCTCTTTCTAGTTTTCCTTTGAGTTGTTCACACTCGTTGAAAGGTCTAAGGGAAAAACAGCAGCATCCTTTTTACAAGGGAAGAGAAATAGCATGACAAAGCTCATTTGCAGCTTTAGAAACATTGGGCTGATGAGTTCTCCATAAATCATAATGTCATCTTACTTGCAAAAAGTGATACTGCAGCTTTTAGCAATAAGTTTACTTGGGGATGACTGCATTATAGTAATTGTGCCTATCAAACACTGTCAGTATTTATGACATATATTTTGGAAGATACTCTGTGGTACTGTAAAACACAGTACCTGTGATATTACAAGCTACCTTTCATCACTTTCATCTGAAGAGTAGAGTCCATGCACCTAAAGTGTTTTCCTAACCCCATTTTCCTTCTCTATTTTGCATGCTGTAGACATGACCTCCACCTTTTCTGTTTAATATCACCACTAATGTTATTTTCCTTGAAAAATGTGATCTGCATATGGAGCAAAATCTGCCATCAGTATATTATGAAGTTAATGAATTTGCCAAAGTTTATTAATTGTGCTTGAGATGCGCTTTCTCAAGGAGGCTGAGGTGAAATGCCAGACTACTTGTGGTATCTCATCTTAAGCACCTACATAGGTACTTGATGCACACAGCGTATCAGAAATCCTGATCCCATTTCGTGATTTGCCCAGGGGTAAACACACAACCCTGGACAGAGCTGCCTGCCCAATTACTCCTCTCAGAAACTTCATTAATTTTTCTGAGGAGGTAAATGTGGGGCGAAGGAATCGGGTGCTGAAAGAATTACTCCCTTACTGCCAGGAAACCCTCTTGGTAGGCTCTTCTATGGTGTCGATCACAGCCTTCCCCCAGGCATGAAGTCAAGAGGTGTTGTGGGAGTTCACCAAAGCCCTTGGCACCATCCACTCCCAGCATATGCCAGTGAGCGAGGAGGAGGCCAATTCTTATCATGCCTCATCTACAGAAATGATTCATACACCTTTTGTTGTTTTAAGAACATGATAGCCGGTCAGGACCCCAGTTTTAAAAGTACGTTTTAGGAGGAAAAGTGGAGCAGTAGGAGAAACGTCCTCCCCTTGCCTCAGTTTCCCCTCATGATGGAAAGAATGACACCAACCTTTGTAGAGCACTCCAAGCTTCCCTGGAATAAAGTGTTCTATGACTATGATAGAGTAGCACTTAAGTCTAAAAAAATCCTAGGACAGGGAGCAAAGGGGTGTTTTATCTGTTACCTGAAATAACAGCATTTGGGACTACTGCCACCCTTTTAATTTCATAACATGCTGATATGGAGAGAGATAGATATAGATATAAATATATATACAGCTGCATGTTTTAGCGAATGTCACTGAACCTATTTTTTGTCACTGTTACATTCTCACAGAAGTTCTGAAGTATGAACCTGGGCACTGCTTCCCAGGAAAACAGCTCATTGGGCCACAGTCTGCAAAGGGCAAAGTTTACTTTGGAAACAAAATGGTTTGGATTTCAAAAACCTGCATTTATTCACACATTCTCCACCACAGACAAAATATATTATCCATTGAACTGTGAAAGACTATAGAATAGCAGCCAGGAATTTTACATACAAGAATTGGGGATATATTGGTGGCGGTTTTCTGATAGCGTCACTTAAACTGTCACATTTTAACAAACAGAACACCCTGCCTCTATAAAATGACTTAATCCTTAAACTGTATTTATACAAGTATTTATTTTATAAGGCTTAGACATTTAAAGACTTCTAAAGAAGAGTCTTGTAAAGGTAAAAGTATGTGTAAGAAATGTTGAGGTCCTGTGCAACACTGCTAAGTTTGTTCTTTATTTTTTACATTGTGCTGCATAACAAAAGCCACTAGACTGTTACTGTCTTGTCTGTAACTGTGTTAACAGCATTCCTTAATGATGTATATATGGAGTGGTCTTCAAACATACTGAGTGATTTTAAAGAGAAAGTCAATCATGATGTTACTTTTACAGAGGAAAAAAAATTCTGAATAATGGGGGACAAGTGCATTCCTAAATTACCTACGGCCCATGTTTTGCACTTTAGGCTCTTAAAAAAAAAAAAAAAAATCATATTTATATCTTTAGGGCACACACAGTATTTAAAGAGATTAAAAAAAAAAAAATTCCTGTTGTGGGAGAGCAATTGATCATGAATTTAATTACATATATGAAGAATTGCCTGTAGGCATTTAGGCGTTTCACCAGTCAACTGTACCCCAAAAAAATGCAAGGCCATTTCAGAAAATTAGGCTCCCTAGTTTGCCAACTTGTTTTAGTGTTCCTTTGAAATACTTGGTTTGTGTTCTTGAGTGGTATTTTTCATGTTACTTGTCTTTTGCAACTTCAGTTTGTATTTTGAATTCATGTTTCCTGGTTTGGTAATTTAACTGCTATCCATTCATCTGCATATAAAAATAACTTTGTCGTGGTACCTAACATAGTAATTCTATTTTGTATTAATTTAGAGCTGAATATTTTCATCCTTCTGTCCTGTGCCAGCTTTCATCTGCCAGCAGTCTTCACAACCTGCAAAGAAAGCTCCATACATTGTGATAACACTCTAACAATTTATAAAAGAATCATATATGTGATTCCCTTACAATTTCAACCAACATGCTGGGGCATTTTCTAATCAAATTATTTCTTAGCCAAGAAGCTTTCTTTAAATGGCATTGTGCAGCCATAGTACCAAATTCTGCTTCCAGTGTCTACAGTATAAGTCTGAAAGAACTCCCTCTTCCTGTGGATTTAACAGAACAGATGAGACTCAGATTATGGTCTAGAATTAAACATTTTTCCTTTAATTTCATTGGCAAAATAGAATTGTCTTGGTCAACACCACTGACATAAGTGACAAGTTATAAATTAACATAACTTTGTTCTGCCAGTGAAAGCAACTGGCATCCCAAAACCAGAAAGAAGTCCAGGACAGGGTCTGTCCCTTTAAGAGGGGATGAAGAAACACTCTGAAATGATCCTTGACTTTCGTATTAATTCTAACAATGGCATTAAACGAGACTGAAAATGTTCTTCTAATTAAATTTCGCCCTGAACCAGTTAAGTATTTGTAGTCAGACTTCACCTTTCTGTAGCTCTGTAATGTGCTACGTTTATAGCCTAGGAAATAAAGCTCCAGCACGAGGCTCTGTTTTATCTGTGTTCTGTTAAGGGCTTATCATGTTAACTGGCTCTGGTTTCGCGGTTGACTTTCTCTTTTGGAATGGCTGTATACAAATTAGTGTCAGGTCTGAAGACTAAGGATACTAAATGAGTGTATCTTTGCTCTACAACAAATATGAACTATAATATCCAGTGCTGGCTTCTGATGTGTCAGTAAGTACAGAAGTATCTCGGACACAACGACCTTTGCAACCTTTCAAGCTGTGTAATATTCCAATGGTTTTGTATATACTTAAATCATGTAGAACGATGTAAAACCAGTATGACCGTGTCTAGTCTTCAAACTTAACAATAAAACTTTTGAAAAATGAGGTCATTTTTGAAGCACTTATATTGCAATACCTTGAAGGAGATACAGCTTATCTCAGCTTCACTGGCAGCAAATGCAGAGCAGAGATATGAGGTGGCATTTTCCTGGATTCATTCACAGGTTCTTTGTGGTAGGTAAGTTTGTTTCTGGCAAAATCAACTGTGATGCTGCACTCCCTTCAATGTGTTCCCTTTGTTCTTTCTGATAAAAAAAAGCTATGGTTTGAATGAGTCTAAAAATATTTTTCTATCTTGCTGCTCTGTGAATGAGCACCAGAAATGTAAACTGACAATTTCATTTCCTTTAAGTCAAATTTGTTGGGATATTTATCAATCCTTATCCTCCCTTCTCCACTCCTGCATAGGCAAATTAATTTCCAAAAAGATAAACAGCACCTGCAGCACAGACCTGCTATGAACCTTCCAGCAGAAATGCCAAAGCAGGCCCAGTGCTTGCTCACGCCCTGTCCTCTCTTCATTTTATTTGCTGTACAGTCTGCTCCCCAAAATTTCTGATTTACTTGAATGCCTCATTTCAATTTCTGAAGAAGTCTAGAGTGAAAGTAGTGCATGGAAAACCCATTTGCTCCTGATTTTAAACAATGAGATTTTTTAAAAAATTTAAAGTTTTGGGCACTTTAGAGAGATGGACCTTCAGTGGTTTACTCCTTCTTGATCCATAATATACCCATAGATAAACAGGCTTTTGTTTCATCTCCATTTCAGCTTATGTTCTTTCACCAAAAATTGTCTTTTAGACATAAAACCCAGCCATGAGTATGCACTGATGACAGGCACTTTGTCTGCCAAATGTGAATTGTCTTTCAACAGTAAAGTCACAGAATTAATGTTGCAATTATTCTGATTACATACCAGTCACAAAATAAGAATATAATGGTGCACACAAAAAAGAGGATTACTTTTGGTGAATGATGGCTGAATATTAGTGCTTCAATCATAAATTTCTGAAAATATGCATCTTGAATCTTTCTGACTTTTAATTATAAATTGCATGAAACATTTCCTAAAGAAATTAAGTGATTTTTCCTCTCATTCTTCATAATGTAGATCCCCAGAAACTCTAATGAAGACAATGAGAGAAAATAATGAGTAATTCTCTTCAGAACAGCAACTATTTATCAATGTCCATCCTCCCATACCTGTTGCTAATGAGCTCAAGGGATTAACATGCGTATCAACATTCTACATCATTATGAAATATGTAGTCTCTGATACTTCTGTGATAAATACAATGACACTTACTTTGTACCTTAGATTCAAATAACAGGAGGTTAATCTGTTCACTTAGTGATCTAAGTGATCTTAGAGTTCACCTGTGATCATTTAGCCTTATAAAATAAAATAGGACAAAATAGAAGATAATTTTGATGATACAAACATTTTATTTCTTTTTTTTTGTTTTCAACTTGCATAATTTCATTAATAGGGAAATACACTTTAGGATGCAAAAGACTGCTTTACACTGAGAATATAAAACATAAAAGGCAGACCTGTATAAGTCTTTGTTGTGCAGCTTTATAAGTGCATTTATTGAAAATTATTTAAATGCCTCTAATGGAAACTTGTCTTTGTCTCACAATTACTGAGTGCAGCAAAACATAATTTACCGGTATATGTTAGTAATGATAACAGCTATGTTTTCATATACCATATATCAATTTAGAAGTAGGCTCGACATGTATGGGAAAGTATGGGAAGCACGAATAACATAGTGAAATACAGGCAAGGCACAGC